AACGACCCGATTTTTGTACCTCTTTCTGCCTATTATCTTTCAAACTTAACCAAGCAATATTATATTTAGAGAAAAGAAGTCCACATACTTAATATTTGCATGGTTTCTACCTGGACGACAGATGAGGATAGATATTTGCATGGTTGTCACGATCTTGATGAATTTACTAGTCCATTAATTGCTGAAGCCTGAATCAATCAATGATCTAAAACGATGAAATTTAACTTTTCAATCATTCTTTCACTTTCGAAGTGAGATTATACATGTTTATTATTAAACGTAGAATAAAAGAGCATGTTATAACGGGAAGCTAAAAGTCAATAATACCGAAGGGGGTTTCGAAGACTAATATGGCATATGACACATTAGTTTTAAATTCCATTATAAGGAGGTTCTGATAAGTATATTAAACAATAAGATCATTTCATCGTAGCGTATTTTAATTCAATTTTTTTTATTAATTATATATTTAAGAAAAGTAGTAAAAAAATAATATTCTAACATGGTATGAGTAAGGAATAACTCAGTAGATCTTGTTATAAATTTGTTCAAATTAAAAAGAAAAAAATTCTTTTCAAAAGATTTATTTGAAAAGATGATTTTTTTTAGTTATTTTGGTAGTTATTTTTCAAAGATGATGTCTTTTGAGAAAAATATCTATAAATAGGTAGTTGAGGGTAAATATTGAATACATCTCTTTCATACTCTTATTCTTTACTCTCAACGTGATTGAATTAGATATTCTCTAATTCCTCTTTGAAGATTCTTTATTGTTTGCTCAATACAGATCTTCTAAAGGCTTGTCATATCCATTAAAATTATTTGCATCAAATCCATAATAATCTTATTGAGAAAAGGGTGTAAATATCATTTTTAGGAAAGTGTTTATACACGTTTGAAGCCTAAATATATTTCCTATAGTATTATTTTTCTTGTATTTATTATTTGTTTCTATAATATTTTTATCATCTTTTTTGTTATATTTTTTCAACAATCTAAAAACGATATTTTGTGAGTTTATACAAATTCACCATGGAGGCTACAAATACCATCAAATTATTGAATCAAGATTTTATTCGTTTGGATCATTTTGATGGAATAAATTTTACTCGTTGGCAAGACAAGATGAAGTTCATGTTGACTGCTTCGAAGATCTTCTATGTGCTTGATCCAAATCTTCAACCAATTCTTGATCCAACCGACGATGACACCGATGAAGTCAAGGCTGAACGAAAGAAGAGAAATGAAGATGAAGTCATGCGTAGAGGACACATTCTTAATGCTCTTTAGGACTGACTTTATGATCTTTATATGGTGGAACCATTTGCAAAAGCAATTTGGAATGCTTTGGAATTCAAGTATCATGCCGAGGAAGAAGGTACAAAGAAAATTTTAATTTTTAAATATTTTGATTACAAGTTTGTGGATGACAAGTCAATCTTGGCACAAGTGCATGAGTTGCAGGTCATTGTTAATCAATTGAAGGCTGAAAAAATTGAACTTCTTGAACTTTTTCAAGTAGGGGCTGTAATAGCCAAGTTACCTTCATCTTGGAAAGGATATAAGAAGAAGATTTTGCATGACTCCAAGGATATCACTTTAGAGCAAATTCAAAAACATCTTCGAATTGAGGAGGAATCGAGGATGAGAGACAAGAGTGAGAACTCTTTTGATAATATAAAAGTAAATGTTGTGAATCAGCCTAAGAATTCTAACAAAGACAAACAAAATAAGGAGAATTATTTTGGCCCCAAAAGGGATCAAAGAAAATTTAAGAAGCCAAAGAGTGGAGGTTGTTTTGTTTGTGGAAAACTTGATTATTTTGCTAGGGATTGCATATTTAAAAAGGGTCAAAAACCTGAAGTTAACTCCGTTGAGTGAGATGATAATATAATCGCTATGGTGAGCGAAGTGAATACTATATTTGACAAGGTTTTTGGTTGGTGGTATGATATTTGTGCTACTATACATGTTTGCTATGATAACGCACTCTTCAAGACTTACAAAGAAGTCACAGAGAGGCAAGAGATTCAAATGGGAAATGAAGTTCGTTTTAATGTGATTGGCAAGGGAAATGTGGAACTCACTTTCACTTCGAGTAAGAAAGTCACTCTTACTAATGTCCTTCATGTACCAGATATAAGTATAAATTTAGTGAGTGGGAATCTCCTTGGCAAACCTAGAATTAAATCTGTATTTGAATTCGGAAAGTTAATTCTATCCCGTAATAGAACTTTTGTTGGAAAAGGCTATTCCGCTAAGGGAATGGTCAAATTATCTATTGTTGAGAATGATTCTAAATTTAATAAAGATGTTCTTGTATTTATATTATTGATTCTTATTCATTATGGCATGATAGATTAGCACATATTGGAACTAGCACCATTAGAAGAATGGTTAAGTGTGGCTTAATAAATTATCATTTTGATGATCTTAATAAATGTGAAATTTGTGTTAAATCAAAGATGACGAAGAAATACTTCAAAAGTGTTGAAAGATATACTAATTTATTAGATTTAATACATTATGATATATGTGAATTAAATGACATATTAACAAGAGGAGGTAATAGATATATTATTACTTTTATGGATGATATGTCTAGATTCGCATATGTATTTATTGAAACATAAAAATGATGCTTTTAATGCTTTTAAGGCATATAAAGTAGAAGTTAAAAATCAATTAGGAAAGAAAATTAAAGTTTTAAGAAGTGATAGAGGAGGAGAATACTTTCCTAATGAATTTAACTTGTTTTGTAAACAACATGATATAATTCATGAATGTTTAGCAGCTAGAACACCTGAGCAAAATGGATTAGCAGAAAGAAAGAATAGAACTTATCTAGAGATGATTAATGCTATGTTGTTGCATGCTAAATTATCTTATAATTTGTGGGGAGAAGCTTTATTGGTTGCATGTCATATTTTTAAAAGAATAAGATCTCTCCATATGAGTTATGGAAAGGAAGACAACCTAACATTGGTTATTTTAAAGTGTGGGAGTGTCTTACATATTGTAAGAATAATGATCCTCAAAGGACAAAGTTGGGACCTAGAGGAATTAAATGTGCATTTATAGACTATGCTTTAAATAGCAAAGCTTATAGACTTCTTAATTTGAAGTCTAATATAATCTCAAGATGTGGAGTTCTTTGAACATTTAATAACTTTAAGTAATAATGTTCATCCTCCAACTAGTGAAGAGTCACTAGTGGAGACATCTCAAAAGGTTGATGAGCAACCTAATATTCCTTTGATTAGACATCAATCAAGTTCACAAGAGGTTGGAGAGCAATCTCATAAATTAAGAAGAAGCACTCGTGTACGAAAAGCAAAAACAATTCCTCTTATTTTACAAGTGGAAAATGATCCATTCACTAAACCTCTTATAAGAGAAGTTGTAAGATTAACATCAAAATGGATGAGGCTAAAACTCTTTGAATAAAAGATCCACCAATGATAGCAACCTTACTCAATATTATGAAATGAGTAAAGAAGAATTCAAAGGGTAAGAACAAGTCATTGACATGTGGAGTGGTTCAGCACTTTGAAATATTTAACGAGTCCCATCTAAAGATGTTAAAGTGCTGGTTGTCATTGAATGAGGGTTGAGTTAATTATACTCTTAATGAAGTTCAGTATCTCAAAGAGTGACAAAGATACTATAAGAACTTCACCTATATGAACTTAGAAGTGGTGCCGTTTCGATTGAGAGTTGGAGTTTTCTCTCATAAAAGTTCATGAACTTGGATGAGCCCAAGGCCATATTAGAGCTGAGCGAGATTTTATGAGGAATACAAGAATGTTGTATTTATGTGTGTGGTATCACTAGTGTTGTCATTAGGAATAACAAATTCAAAACTTTTATGCTATTTGGGATTTTGATTTCACTTTGTGATGCTTACACTAAGTAATATTCAAATCAAAAGATATATTACTTTATTCATAAATACTATTTAATCACCTGGAGAAAATTTTAAATTTGAACAAGTGGGGGATTGTTATAAATTATTCAAATTAAAAAAAAAATTCTTTTTAAAAGATTTATTTGAAAAGGTGATTTCTTTTATAGTTATTTTGGTAGTTATTTTTCAAAAATTATGTCTTTTGAGAAAAATATCTATAAATAGGTATTTGAGGGTAAATAATGAATACATCTCTTTCATACTCTTCTTCTTTACTCTCCACATGATTGAATTAGATATTCTCTAATTCCTCTTTGAAGATTCTTTATTGTTTGCTCAATGCAGATCTTCTAAAGGCTTGTCATATCCACTAAAACTATTTGCATCAAACCCATAGCAATCTTATTGAGAAGAGGGTGCAAATATCATTTTTAGGAAATTGTTTATGCACGTTTCAAGCCTAAATATATTTCCTATAGTATTCTTGATCTCGTGTTTATTATTTGTTTCCATAGTGTTTTTATCATCTTCTTTGTCGTATTTTTTTCAACCGATCTAACAGGATAATTATTGTGATCCGATGCCTATGACGAATTATGCATATTATTTTGAAACATGATCTGATTAGGTGAGAAATTAATAATAATATACCCATCGAATTCTAAGTCAATCTTAATACTATCATACTTTAGATGTATGATTAAGTCGAGATATTACTTCTTTTCTTTTTCTTTTTTTTTTTGTCAAAGAGCTGCTGGTCGATTGCGATTTAATATTCATATATATATATATATATATATTTATAAAGCAGAAAAAAAAAACCACAATAATGTCAGATATGTACGTGTCACGTTGCCGTCGTGATATAAAATCTCAGTTCAGCCTCGTGAGTACAGAGTCCACGTGTGTCAGCGGCACATGAGATGTCAACGACACCAATAAAACCGATTTATATAATTATTTAGTCCCCATTTGTCTTTAAAAATCACAATAATTGGTCACGGGAGAAGGGTTTAATTATCGCAATTATTGATCTAAAAAATGTGTTATTTAATGTAGTAAGTAGCTGCCAAATATATATCCCTCGGACCATATGAATGGCTGCACCGAGAGCAGCATAGAAACCGGTTTTCATTTGCTTGTCCTCCCGCCGGGCATACTAGCCGGCGAGGCCGCTACTTCTCGAACCTTCGCGTCTATAAATAGAGCCGGCTTCAGGTAGAGTGCGAGGTCGTCGGTTCTTTGTGGTTTCTCGCTCCGTTCTTGAGCGACCGCTCGGCGTCTCCCTGAGAGGGAGATCTGGGCGCGTCCCCCCGGTAGGGGTGGTGGTACAATGGCGGCGTCGGCGGAAGTGCCTGCCCCTTACGACGCCGGCAAGGCGAAGGGCGAGGGTCCATCTCCGGATGACGCAGTGATCTTCGTCGGGATTTCCCTCCTGCTCGGGATCGGTTCCAGGCACCTGCTGAGGGGCACCCGGGTTCCCTACACCGTCGCGCTGCTCATCCTCGGCATCGGTCTTGGATCGATCGGTTCGTGTCTGTTGGCCCGATTTTTCTGTTGCGAGATGAAGTTATTGTGGATTTTGTTGGTGGACAATGCGTTATTTTCTTGGATCGATGGTTCTCACTCCATTTCTCTGTTGCTGGATGAAGTTCTTGAGGATTTTGTTGATGCGTGTGCGTGTTTTCTTGAATCGATGGTTCTCACTTCATTTTTTGTCGCTTGATGAAGTTCTTGAGGGATTATGGATGGACAATGGGTGTTTTCTTGAATCGCTGGTTCTCACTCCTTTTTTTTGTCGCTAGATAAAGTTCTTGAGCGTTTGTGGATGGACAATGCTTGTTTTCTTGAATCGGTGATTGTCACCTTGTTTTTCTGTCCAAGTTCTTGAGGGTTTATGGATGGACAATGCGTGTTTTCTTGAATCGGCGGTTCTCACCTCATTTTTCTGTCGCTAGAGCACGCGTGTTATGTTTAGTCGGTGGTTCTCACTTCGACTTGATGACAAGATTTCTTATATAACTATTTCGGCGAGCTATTGGGGTTGGATCCAAACAATTAATTTAGCTGGTTATTCAGTAGCACAAGCCCAGGCTTGTTCTGGTGTTGGAGTTCCCAAGTTTTCATGATAGATTCTGCCCACACTTGAGGCCCGTGCCTTGTGTTCAGAGAACTCAACATGCCAGAGGAATTCTAGTATGGAGTTGCAAACCTCGTCTTGTGTGAACAATAATTGTATGTGTCACGTACCATAATTTTTAGTGCATCCTGTGTGTTCCTTGTGTATCATAGGTTCCCAGATTCCCCAGTGTTCCTTAGCATGTACTCTGAAACCTTGTTCCAAGTGTCAGTATAAACTTCACTGCTATTAGGACACAATTCATTTGCTTCTAGTGATATTGATGTTATGCTTTGCTTTTTATTCTGCAGTAAATTGAATAAACCATTAGAACTTGAGACTATAAAATTGAATTATTGAACCGAACCAATTACAAGAGTTTGGTCTTCTCCTATACTGGTGTAGCTTGTTAGCTTTCTTCAGGTTGCTATTCTTGTGGGTGTCATACTGCTGATTGGCCGTGTTACAATTTGCTGATATGATCGCCATCTTCCGTGGTATTTAATTCTTATCCTTTTTTTACTCTGGATCCAGAATATGGAACGAGCGGTGGATTAGGAAAATTAGGAGCTGGCATTCGTCTTTGTAAGTATTGATTTGAATTGTGGCCAATGTCAACATGATAAATCTAGCTATCAATCTTGATGAAATGACTTGTGTTGTCATCCAGGGGCAAACATAAATCCCAATCTTCTGCTATCTGTTTTCCTTCCTGCTCTTCTTTTTGAGAGTTCCTTTTCTTTGGAAGTGCACCAAATAAAGGTATTCTTCTATCTTATACTGGTGCAGATGTTCAACAGTCATTTCTTCCATTTTCATCTAGTAATTTTATTGCATTTGAGAGTTACTACGCCAATCTTAATCATTTTATATTATGCTGAGTTTTCTATCTGCTCACCCAGTAGATTTTAATGCAATCACAATCTGCATCAGTAGGTTAGTCATGACATGAAGTTCCATATTCTTCTGTTGTTTGGAGGCTGCAACAATTTACATGTTTTTTCCTAACTGGAGAGGTATGATGAAATCACAAAGCAAACACATTATTTTTTTGAATGGAGCTCCTATATTTTAGTGATGATGGAATATTGTGAAATTTTTTTTTTTTTATGAATTATAATTTGAACTTGTAAGTAGATGACATATAAGACACCATTGCATCATCCCTCTCATTTACATCAACTAATTCTTTTACTGAAGGAAAGGAACATTGATGAACATTGACTAGCTTCTGTCATGACTTTTACAAAAAAGTTGAAAACATATAACTCTCACTAATCATATTGAAATTAAATAACCTTGGCTGTGTCATTGTTATGACAAAGGGCAAGTGCAGTTCAATTTGTTTGTATGAAAGAAGGAACTCATAATTTGACTGAGCTGTCTTGCAAAACCTAATATGCACTTTTAAACCTCAACTTAATTCCTGTTGGCTATTTTTTTCTTTCATCTTCGTGAAGGATAGTAAACAATGATATTTCTGTTGCTATTGGTGAAGGATTGCTAACTTAGAAGGTTGGGTCTTGGGTATTGGGTTTCTAATATATGGTTATTTTAATATGTGGAGAACCGTGTTAGCAGTTGAAAAGAAATGATGTGGTTATTACTGACATCAACGTGAAATTGTTGTTGATGCAGAGATGCATGGTGCAAATGCTATTACTTGCTGGGCCCGGTGTGGTTATATCGACCTTTTTCCTTGGAGTTGCTGTGAAGGTGTGTTATCATGGCCTCATAAAATTTATTTTATTTATTTTTTAAAGGTAATTTTCTCCTGCCTTTATTAACAAAATAAGATGAACTCTCTTTAGAAAGTTACCCTTGAGTTAAAGAAAATAATAAGTCAGTCAATCATCCTATGATAACTGTGCTGCAGATTACTTTTCCCTATGGTTGGGATTGGAAGACTTCATTGCTGCTGGGGGGGCTACTTAGTGCCACAGATCCTGTTGCTGTTGTGGCTTTACTGAAAGAACTTGGAGCAAGTAAAAAGATGAATACAATAATTGAAGGAGAATCCCTGATGAATGATGGGTATGAGCTTTTCATATGTCATCTATTTTCACCAACTGCTAAAGATTTGTGTTTCCATTCCACAGTTGGTGTTCCTTTGATTTTGGCTGCATTCTGAATCTGAAAAGAAGGGTAGAATTTTTTTTTTTTTTTAAGTGGGTGCAACAACAAGAAGGCTTAGCGCTAAACATGTCAGCCTTCTGCAGCAGTTCTTATCAAATCTGAAACTCACTCTAGACAATAAGAATCAAGAGAAGTCATATGCTCTAATTAGATAAAGAGGCAAAGATTCATGACTTACCAATGTTTGACCATCTTAGAGTTCACATAAAGCAACAAAAGGTGCATTGCAACTTCAGCTAATTTGTTCCATTGATTACTATGGTGTTTTGTAATTTAGTCTCCATCAGCAGGTAGTGATCGGATTTCTTTACTGCTATGCGTTAGTATATATTTATTGTCTAAATGTCTTTGAAAAGATAATGCACATGGAGCACAAGTTCATAAAACTTTGGAGGATTTGGCCATCTGATTGGCCTTCTATAACTGATTTTTCACCGCAGGCAAACATATTAGTTAAAAAGTTAGGGCCACTTCATGATTTTCTTTTTTTATGCCAACATAAATCAATAGATGCAATTGTCATTGAGCTAAGAGGATTACTTGTCATGGACAGGAACCTATTCCCTTTTATGTTTAATTTTTTTTATAGTAATCTTCTACAATTATGATTTGAGAAAAATTGACAAAAAACAAGTCGAAAACACTTAGATGTATAAAAAGGCTCCTTCATCTTTACTGAAAGTTGTAAGTCATTTATGAACAGGGTGATTTGTATAAAAATCCTAATTAGATGGTTTTAAGGATTAAATCACTACAAGGATTATTTGCAAGCAGGACTTGATTATGACTACTGAATCGCATACCTATTTGCTGGTTGGCTAGTTACAAACACTGGTACCATCAATCGTGGCATGACTTTTGTCTGACTCTTTTGTACTTCGTTCTTTTTCCGTCTTGGTCTTGAACAACTCTGGGAACTTGGGAAATACTAGTTTAAATGCTTTAAGTTGTTAACTGGCAGATTGAGTTAATTTCTTCAATTGGCTTGAGTTATAGATACCCATTTCACCCATTTATGGTATTAGGTTATGCTGCTAAAAATCAGACAGCCTGAGACCCAGTCCAGAATTGGAGCAGCACGTACCTCTTGGTATCGATGGTATACCATGGTAAAGCCATTCATCACAAGAAGCATAATGTCTGTGAATGCAAACTTACAAGAATAAAAGCTAGGAGAACCTTTTTTATTGTGGTGCTGACTGGATAATAATCCAGAAACTATGGAGCCATAGTTGAAGAATGAGATGAATAAGATCACTTGGGAGTAAGAAAGGTCAAAAATTAGAAGGCAGCAATCATGGAGTCACTTCTATACTAGAATCTGAAAGTCTCAATATTTTTTTGAGACCTAAACGAGCAATATTGTCCTTGCAAAAGGGAGAGATGGAAAATGATATGATCATTTGACAAACTGAGTCTTCAAAGTCATTCTTTTCTGTTGCATAATTCCTTTTAGGATTTTGTGTCATCCTGATGGGATAGCCTATCAACTTTATTTGGTCTTTATAAGTATATCCTAGTTTTGTCAAAATGCTTAAATTGAAGTTAATAGTAGCACATTCATTAGACCCTTATAAGTTTATCTTAGTCTTGCCCACTTCTAATGTGGGAATAATCGGGATATTACATTTTATGATGATTATCACAAATCCCAGGGTTGCACAATTCTATTCAGGACTTTGTGATGATTGACTGAAATCCTAGGATTAGAGGTGCTGCCCATATTTCATGTAATAAAGTAAAACAGTGTAGAAGCATATGATATCTCTTAAGTTTTGGTTGAATGCATTTTTCTTAGGACTTGGTGAATCTTAATGCAAACAAAAGCCTACACATTGCATGCAAACTGTTGATAATGCATTTGGAAACTGCAAGGCCGAGGCAAGTGATCTGCTTGCACAATGTCTAAAAATAGAAACATAAGTTGCTGAATGGTAGTGTTACATAGTTGAACAAAAAAAAAGAACACCTTAGAGTGATATCAAGATCTGTTAGGGACAAAGTAATCATTAATCAAGAATGGAGCACAGTTAGTAGCTTTGGTTAAATGATCCAGAATGATGAACATGGTGACTGTGTCTAATTGGTTTTGTTTGATTGCATATCATAAGATTTCTGAGATATCCTAAATTAAGCAATGGACATATACTATGCATGGAAATTGTTAATACTGTTTCCAAAACCTGAAAGCTACATAATTGGTTTTCTGTGCATGGTGGCTAAAAACTTTAACTTTTCACCGGTAGCATGACATAGTTAAAAAACAAAAAAAAAAAGGCCATGTTACAGAAGATCAAGTTTGGACGGAGACGATGTAATTGATCAAGAATAAACTGTATTTGGCCTGAAAGTTACATCATTGAATTTTCGTGCATGGTGGCTAAAAACGTAACTTTTCACTGGTAGCATTGCATACTTAAATAAAAATAAAAAAACAAAACAAAACAAAACAAAAGCCACCTTATAGAAGATCAAGTTTGGATGGAGACAATTGAATTGATCAAGGGTAAACTGTATTTTGGTAGAATTGGGTAAGCACCCAGAATGTAGTCTTAAATATTTTTCTAGCTCCCCAAAACCCCATATAATGCCTAATATAGAACTGCAATACAAATTATAGTTACCACATTTGATCTAGAAATAAGGACCTGCAAACTGATTTGAGAATAATCATTCTTTTGAGTCCTGAAATGTCATAAAGGTGTACCCACTGTATGAGTCTCCCGCCAATGCGGGGTCTGGGAGACGGTCAATGGCGGCAACCTTACCTTTAAATGTCATATTGGTTATAATTATCTTGGATTCTGCTAATACAAGATATAGATTTGGCCCAGCCTAAAATAGTTAGACAGCAAGGATGGCCATACCATCCAAGTGTCATCATGATGTCTTTTACAAATTACAATATTGAAGATGTGATGATATAGGCAAGAATTTTAACTGGCTTCTACTAGTCAACTTCTATTGTGCTGTGCTACTTGATACATGACTAGCTACTGAAGGATTCAACCATGAAACTAAACACAAGGAGTCCCTATCGAACTCGGATTATGATCCCCTTCAGATGCCAGGCCCCCATGCTACCTGAGGGTTGTCAATGAATACACCTGACCCATTTCGGATTGAGATCTAATCCAGTTAAGAGTGGATATGATCATATTTCTAGTCTGATGACTGAACAGTGACCTGATATGCTGTTCTGCTTCATAGTCAAATTTGATTTAACCCCCTTCCTGTTCTACTTAAAGCCCTAACATTATGGTATGGTATTGGCCATGAAACAAAACCCTTGGTTGGAACGTTTGATTTTGCTCCATGGAACAAGTTGGAGCTCATCTATTGTTTTTGAGTACTCAAATGAATGACAAAGTTGATTGCACTAAAATATGTAAACAGAACTTGTTTCTCCAATTAATAATATGTTATCTAGACATGCATTTGTACAATTCTGAGAATTTTATTGGGTATTGAACTTTCTCTTCTTTTTCCAGGACTGCAATTGTTGTATTTCAGCTGTTCTACCAAATGGTCCTAGGTCGGAGCTTCAACGTAGGAGATATAATAAAATTTCTGTCACAAGTTGCACTTGGAGCGTAAGTATACATATTTTGTTGCGCATAATTAGGCTAACAAATGCAATCTGGTCAATGTGGATCTATATTTTGCAGTGCAGCTATGGGCATAGCTTTTGGAATAGTATCTGTATTATGGTTGGGCTTCATTTTCAATGACACAGTTATAGAGATCACATTGACTCTAGCTGTGAGCTATATTGCTTTCTTCACGGTAAGTTTGCACATCTCTATGATGTTTATATCAGATTTTCTGTCTTTCTCAATAGTTCTTTTTCTCATGTTTCATATGTCACTCTTCAAGTGTGTGACATTTATTCAGTATGTCTTAAATTGTGTTGAGGAATTGGTTATGCATATTGGTAGGATTTTTCTTAGACTAAATCCAATTTAGTTTTGAGCATCTTCCATCACCATATGTATAAGTTGAACTTAGCTAGATTACATATGCAGAAACTTAGTGTAGATCACCCATGAGGTCCTAGATTAACATCTAAGCTGATGATTCAGGTCATTCCTACTGATGTGTTCAAGATGCTGAAAACTCTGTTGAGTATGCATTGCATCATCTAAAGAAGTAACTTTATGATGCAATATTATGATTTCTTTCGCTCAAGAATATCAAGTAGTTGACATGTGGTTGATATATGTTTTAAGAGACTCAGATTAACTAATATACACACAGATGCTTGTGTATTTTTATGTGTGCTTTTTTGTAGTTCTAGGATGCTTGGCATGATTGAAGATTGTAGTAGCTATAAGCCTGTGACATGCATGGCAAACAAGAAACAAAAACAATTGAAATAATTAGAAAATAAATTTGTTGAGGAATAATAAAATGTTCTGATAATAGAAGAAGCAATAGAAAAATTAGTTTTGTATATATTGGATAAATCAATAATGTAGTTAAGCACATGTTCATAGGATCAGCCAATTCCAGTATGATATGCCTTGTCCATAATGGTAACAAGACTGATTTGATTCAGGTTGATATCTTGGCCTGATATTTAGACACTGGTCATAGTGATATTTAGACTAAACCAAACTCAATCAGAGTTGACCAATTTTGGCCAATGTTGGTTATTTCATAGCCTTGAAAGAAGAAAGAGAAGAACAATGGAAGGAAAGAAGAAACAAAACCTATGGCTATGACTATGAAATGGAGGAGATATTGTTATTTATGTGTTTATTGACACAACTATTGCTGCGAGACTAAAGCCATTATTTTTGCTGTTTGCCATAATAGTTGCAATATTTGTTGTCCATCGGTGACAAAACCTGATCCATATGGGGGAAGGACTCGGCAACGTTGAACCTTCCTCTGAGCCAATTTTACATCTTTGTGGAGAAGTTGCATCTTTTGCAGCAGAAAACATAATTTCAAAAGGGGAAATCGATATACTTTGCTTTGAAAATAGAAGTACCTAAACAAGGAAAACTAATTTGAAAGACTTCACAAGCGTCAAATGCTCGGACTTCTTTTGCACAAACACAGGCTGAAGAAGTCACAGCTTGCTGCCGGCTTCTCTCCCTTTTTCTCATCCTTTCTCTCGGTAGAGTTCTGCCCTAGACTGGCTGGAACATGCAGCAAAGGCTGCTGTTTTGAAGAATAAGATGAAGAAGATGATTGCTGCTTTGGGGCCCTATACTGGCTAGAGGAAGAAGTTGCAGTGGCTTGTTACTTGAAGCTTGCTGCTGAATTATGGAAGAAGGCTGTGTCTTCTTGGATCTCCTGTTGTCTCTCTCTATTGCAGGTGGCTGCTGCAGGCAGAAGGAAGAAGGAAAAAGAGCTAATCCTGTTTAAGGATGAAGCTGCTGCTCTCGGCTCGATCTCTCTCTCTCTCTCTCTCTCTCTCTCTCTCTCTCTCTTGTGGCTGGAATAAGAGAAAGGCTAGGGCCGGCTGGAATATGCAGGAGGCTGCTGAATTGATGCTTGAAGAGGCTACCACACCTTGCTTTTCAAAGCCTTGAGGGGTAGAGTCCTAACTAGGTTAGGAGTCTCCCCTTGGCTAGGGCTGGCACCCTTTAATCCCTACTTTAATTGGGGCGCAAGCTGCCCCCTAATCCCGGTAGGACTTGAATTTGGTTCTCTGAACTGGCCACCACTTTGGTCCTAATCCAAGTCCAACTCAGATTGAGTCTTGCTTTAGCTTGAAGCTGGTCGAACCCAGCTTTTGGGCTTGGGGTTGAGCTTGAGTTAGGTTTGTCTAGATTTGGATTGAATCAGAATTCGAGTTAAAGTCCGGTTGAGCTAAATTGGGGTTCTGCTCGAACTCAAGTTGTGCTGAACTTGAGTGAGACTTGAGCTGCGTAGGATCTGGTCTTTCAGCTCGGATTCAGGCTTGGATTGGGTTTGGCCAGATTGGGATCGATTTGGAGTTCAACTTGAACTCCAGCTGAGCCGAATTGGAGTTCGACTCGAACTCACTCTGATTGTCCCTGATCAAATCTGAGAGGAGAGGATATTGGGGGAGCCGGGGATGGAAGGGGAGGACAAAGAATAACTGTTAACTTCCTAATGAAATAGATATGTCATAATAGAGGAGAGAAATGCAATGAGATTCATAATTAACCTCAGATTTTGTTGTTGTTCTCTTTGAGTCAAGTTTTTCTTTATTAATATTTGTATCACCTAACTTTTTGCCAACATGGTGATTAGAGAATCCCTAGAGTTACAATTTTGTCCATTTCCATTCTCAGAACTCCCAAGTAAGTTTTGGGTCTTTTGGGTCTATATATATTTTGTTAAATTATTCTTTCGACCAATTTTGATCCCACTGATCTGATCTAATTAGTGCTGCCAATTCTAGTCATATTATCCCTAGCTAATTTTAATAAATATTACCAATCTTGCAAACCATAGTTTAGAAATGTTGGGAGATGACATAATTACAGAAAGGACAAAGTTAGATGACTCATTGAAAGCAGTCTGAGAATGCAACTTGCAATTTATTCAATCAGTTGAACCCTAGTTGCTCTTGTTATGAAATAAAACTCCATAACCATGAATGCAAGGAACATGACTAACATGCATGACAAAACTATTTTGGAAAAGAGAGCCCTATGCGAATGGCAGTAGATGAATAGTTTGCAGAACGGAATTCTAAGAAACAGGTAAACAGAGCAAATAAATATTGATTTCATTCATTTCTAGTAACTGAAGTGATACTTGATTTATTGACATTGTCATAAGACATTGTTTCTTTTGGTGACACAAAGCAAGGGGATTCAGACTTTCACATGTATTTTTCTTTGGTTTGTGATGAATCGTGGGGGATTTCTTGGGAAAGAATACATTATTGAAAAATATATCGAATTTTATTTGACGTTCTATGGACTGTAGGAACTTTTGATGCTATCCACAAGTTTGTACTACCGAGGTCATTAATTTCAAACAATGATTGGTAAGTTTCAAGTGTGGAGTATCCATCTCTTGATTCTTAATTATGGATTTTACCTCATCCCAATTTTGATAAATTTGCATTTTTGCTAACCGAAGCTTCACCTCTGAGTTTTCTAGTGTTGGTTAACATCCAGCACACTTATATATTCAGACCCTTCAGGGTTTTAGTATATAGTGAAACATGTCACTATATTATGGTAGTTTTCACTCTATGATACTGCTAACGTAATCATATATGAGATTATGAGTCCGTACAATTGCGTAACAAGAGCCCACTATTGTGCATTTATTATATGGGGAGTGCAAACTGTGTTTCATTGACACCAGAAGTTTCTTTATGATTCTGCCAAGGCAAGTTGCAATATTTACACATCTGCTTAACACCACTAATCTAATGTTCATTTACCAAGAAGGTTGTTTACAGTATATTCTTGTATACAGATTACAGTATATTGCTAGGGTTTGTCTTTTTGGGTATTGGACCCATTTCAGCAATCTGCTGGAATGGTATGTACCAGTTTGTACTGGTGTACTGACACATGGTACGTTGGTGCATACCAATATTTTGACGAGGAAGAAAAAGAGAGTGAAGAGGAAGGGATGGTGGAGGAACAGAGGAGAAAGAAGGAAAAAGGAAGAAGGAAGAAGAAGAAAGTAGAGGAGGTGAAGAAGTGCAGCAGCAACATCACAGCGGCGAAGAGGCAATGGCGAGGGCTGTGGCATCGTATGCGAGAAGAGGGCTAGCGAACATGAGCCCTAATGGACTAGGGCCCATCGCTTTTCTACTTTTTTACTGGTTTAATCGAACCACCTGAAATGGGGGTGGTCTGCTTATTGGTCCATGCCCAGATTAGTATGTGCCGCTTGTACTATACCGTTTCGGGCAGTACAACAATCACTGATATATACTATATTTCTTTCTTTTTGTAATCATCCATGAATATTCTTTTCATACCAGGCTCAAGATGCGGCAGATGTTTCAGGGGTCCTGACAGTGATGACTCTGGGAATGTAAGTGCACTTTCTCTTGCAATGATGTCTGCACCATTTTAGTTTGTGTGACTTTCTTTGCACTTCACTTGTACGGGCAGGTTTTATGCTGCTTTTGCTAGAACAGCTTTTAAGGGTGATGGTCAGCGAAGTCTGCACCATTTTTGGTATGTAACTTGTCTGCTCAAATGTTTAATCCTGCTGAGGCTATCCATCTCCATATAGCTTCTTTATTTTTCCTTATAGCATTATGCAATACAAAAACTGTCTGCTAAACATGTTATATACACAAATTTTACATTGTTCAATTGGCTAACATGATGTAAGGCTGCACTAAACTCAGGCATCAGAAAATAGTCTGTTAGGTTCACATTTATCTAGCCTACATTATGTATTATCTGTACCTGGTTAAATTTGACTGTTCATGACTTAGCATTACAATAACTTTAAAAGGTTATATAACTACATCATGCCTGAATTTCATGTTAAAAAAGTGTTCTTTTCAGAAACAACAAACGTAAGTTATTTGTATCTTTTCAGGGAAATGGTCGCTTACATCGCCAATACATTGATATTCATCTTAAGGTATTACTAGTTTATCTGTTGTTTCATGTCGGAGATTTCATATGATGTTTTTAACAACTCCGCCATCATCTTCTTAATCTTTTGGCTTTATGTTGTTATGTACTATATCCCTCATGACTTGTATCTACACAATAAATAGAAGAGCTCTGGCAATTCTTTTATTATTTAGTTTCACCTCTACTTATCTTTATTTTACCGTATTATTGATAACTGAATCTCATGACTTTTACCTTCATTTATGTATGGGATATGAATTTTTTAGAATTAGAGAATCCAGTAACAGATATTAGCAGATTGTCTAGAACAGTACATGATGGAAGGATTTGTAAAGGAGCAAGAAGCCAAGAAGCAAGTTCTTGACACAAAATTGAATTTAGTGTAGCACACACCTACAAGGGCACAAGAGATCTAACTTAGTGAGACACTTTGATTACAAATAAGAAATACATAGTGTAATGAGCTTCATGAAGACTATTATTCCCAAATGTGTGACAAATATGGCAATATTCCCAAATGAGTTTCATTAGCTGAGGGAGATACTTCTCCTGGTAACCCCACTAATTCGGACTTCTTTTTCTATCATCATGGCATTAATTCAAGAAATAATTTATATGATGATAACGTTATTTGTGTTATTGGACATAGGAAGAATGTATTGCTTTCTTAATCTCCTTTGGATTATCTTAAGGGAGAGAGATTTAGAAGGACATATTCATATGTATATACTTCAGTTCAGGCATGGATCTCATAAAAAGCTTTTGTTCATTGTTTTTTCTCTATTAGGATGAGAGTTTTTTTTTTTTCAACATTCCTATGATAAACCCTAGTCAACCAATTCTACTAAATTTTTTTCTTACCATAATTATTTCTGTTCTTATTGTCATACTGTCTGTTAGATGTTTCTCTCATCCTTGACATAATAAACACAATCATGAGATAGACAATATGGTAGTGATATTTTCAAATGCTTGTTTATGTGCTTTTGGATAAATAGTGGCAGTTCAAATTTCATTATAATGCACCATGGCACCCTGTTTATTAAGAAGATTTCTTTTTGTAAAGTGGTAATTTCTTTTATCGACTGTGCACCATGATTAAGCTCTTACTGTTATATTCTTTTGCTTCAGTGGAGTGGTTATTGCTGAAGCTGTACTCAACAATGATAGTCACTTTGAAAGACATGGTATGTCTGTGTAGCTTATGTTTATGATAGATTGTTTATTGAAAATTTATATATGGCTTGTCTTTGCCATGAAAATTCTTTTAGGATCAAATTGATTATTATTCAACAACAGACAGTTTGAACTTCTACCATAGGGAACACTTCAAAAAGTTCTCTGAATTCTTTTGACGAAGTTTCTGGAGATCTTTTCTGCCACTTTATTTAGACGATCTACTTTACACCATGTTAAGGCAAACACTTGGACAAACATGGTGAAGTTCAAGAAAATTTTAGTTTATATAGTTTGCTTTTTTTTCTAGGAAGTGAGTTGTTAAAATGTAAAAGAAAAAATACATATTATTTAGTAAAACAAAAGTAAATATCTGCGATATTTTCAAAAGACTACTGTCAAATTGGACTTTGGACCCTGAATGTTTTGTTGTGACCAGGGACTTCATGGGGTTATGTCATTTTGCTCTATGCTTATCTTCAAGTCTCGCGGATCGTAGTTGTTGGGTCTTTATTTCCCCTGCTGCAGTACTTTGGGTATGGTCTTACATGGAAAGAGGCAATTATTCTTGTCTGGTCAGGATTACGAGGGACGGTTGCTTTAGCCCTGGCACTCGCTGTTAAAGTAAGTGGTCTTCTCTTTGTGTTCTCCACTTATATTTATTGGATACATGGTTGTCTATCCTCTTAGAAACACAACATTTGACTGCTGATTTTGCTTTTGAAGCTACTAAAATTGAAGTCTGTGTGATCACTTTTCATACATTTGCTATAACCAAAGTTGTGTTACATAAGTTTGGCTTACTTTTCAAACTTATTTTTCTGGATCATAATTTTATCAATCATCATTTGGCAACAAATTGGACATCAAGATGTGTTATGCATAAATCTGCATTCATCTTTTTGAGGATGGACAGGCTCATGTTAGAACGACACAAGACGTCTATTTGCATGATTGACATATACTTTCTTGTATATCTGAGGCATAAACTACTTAATAATAAATCGTTGTAGTCTTGTAGGAAACTGCGAGTTACCTTTCGTGGGAAATGTAAGCCATGGGCTTGTAGCCTTTCTTTTGTAGGACTGAGATGGAATGGTTGTCACGGTCTTAAATATGATTTCAACAGCAGAAGTAGAGTTTACCAGTGGAGATGATAACCTCACAATTGTTTTCTTTTATTTGCATATGATGTTCCTCAAAGTAGAAATTGCACAGGCACACTGTCTCTAACACTGGGTCTATTTATAATAAGAATTAAGAAGCAATTGATGTTAACAAGTGAAAGTTGACTTGGGGAGGGTTCATATATCTTAAAACAAAAGAATGTTACTAGATTATATAAATATTTTGTCTTTATTATAGGACAACATACTAAAGCCTAGGTGATCATCTAAAATATATTTTGGCTCCATGTTTAAATAAATTTCAAGTTAACAATTGTTTACTTCAGTCAGATCATTACCCTTGACTTGATTTTGGAATTTATTTCATCGGCTTGTTAGAAACCAAGAACATTTCAGGTTTTAGAAATCAAAGTGAGTTTCATTCAACTGAAAGTGAACGATGTAGGATTTATCTTATTTGACCCATCTTTAGATTTAACTAGATTACTAGTTGTGTAACCTTTTCACCATTTTCTTGTGATTGTTGACTTATTTTGTAGGGTTTTTTTGGTGGCTTCTAAGTCCTATTTGCAGTAAAATTATTGTCCAAAAATTCCTTCATTTTGAGGAAAGAAGTTCCATTTTATTTAAATGTTATGTTACTGGTGTGTTAAAATTTTAAATTGTGATTTAAATCTCAATTTGTTTATGTTTCATGGTTGCCTTGATTCTTGCACCTACACTGTTTATGAATGCCAATCAATTAGAAGGCTGGAAAGCAAGATCTTATTGTCATGTAAACTCAGTCACATCTAGTTTGTTTGCTGTTAAATATTTGTCCTGTACAAGTATCGGTTCAAATTTATTGTTTCATACTTTGTCTTATTGTGGATGAAGAATTTTAAATTAGATCTCCATGCTTTATTTTCTATGGTCTCTATATTTCAACACTTTTCTCCATGGTTCTTGGAAGTGCACATGATGCATCATTTTGTACACACTATGGTTGTTTCAAGTATCATGCTATTTTGTACTTCTCCACAATGACATCATGTCCTGGTATTCACATTGGTACCTGTGATGTTTCCTTGTTTTAGGTTTTTCCTAGAAACAATATCTTTACTTGTATGGTCATGACGACGCGTATCAAGCCTTTCTAGACCTTACATTGGTGGCAGTGTTGTGCCATGAGAGACCCTTTTATAAAATGAAGCAAACTAATATTTGCTAATTTGAAATTGATGATCTTCTGTTTCAAAATTTAACTTAGTTACCTCTGATTTTGGTATTCTTTAGCGTGCCAGTGACAACTTGGATAAATCAATTCTCAAACGAGAATTAGGGACCCTGGTATGTTTTATGTTAAAGCTATCATATTAATTTTCCCAACAGAGAAACCTGAAATATGATGATGCTCGTTTAATGCAGTTTTTATTCTTTACTGGTGGGACTGTTTTCTTGACACTAATTTTGAACGGATCAACTGTTCAGTTCTTCCTGCAGCTGCTGGACATGGATAAACTCTCGACAGAGAAGGTTAGGTTACTTCTGTTAATTTCACTGGTCATAATCATTTATTGTGCAGGACCATGCTTTCTTTAGAACGATATCATGGTTCATATTTCTCTTATTTAACTTTATTGATTTTCATTGTTGATGGTTTTATTTTGGATCTGAAATGGCAAAGGTGTTGGTTGTACATTTATATCTGTTATAATTATTATTTATTAAGAATTAATTGGAATTTCACATATTCAAAACTTGCTCTTTTTTGAATGATCAATAGAGTTTGTCACATAAATTTGGATCTTTAGATGACTAAATTAGAATGAGTGCCATTAGTTAATAATTTTATAATAGTACCTGTAGGACAACTTTGTATTTTCCTTATTCAGTGACTGGTTCACTTAAATTAATTACATAGCATAGCTGTTGTGAAATTAGACTAAGACACTTTTCTTCTCTCTCTCTCTCTCTCTCGCTCTCTTTTCACCCTCTTTTCTTTTGAAGCATTTTTCTATTCTTCCTATCCACATTTTGTTGCTTACCACGGCAAGCTATTTGTGTCCATATCAATGGAACGGGTGACTCATTATTTCGATGAATCATTTCTTCGGACAGAAGAAGGTTTTGTAAACACTTCCTCGAAATCTCAATTCCAATGGGCAGCATAAATGTTCCCGGTGACAACGAAGATTTGATAAGACGAAAAGTGGAGAAGAACATTTCTTGTGAAATATAATGTAGCTAAAATTTAGCACTATATAATTTATACTATAATGAATCTAGTTCCTGTATTATCTATAATTTATTTTTTAATTCTTGTAATTTCCTATAATGCCAGATTCGCATATTAAACTATGCAAGATATGAAATGTTGAACAAGGCCTTGGAGTCTTTTCGTGATCTTGGAGATGATGAAGAACTTGGGCCGGCTGATTGGCCCACCGTAAGGCGATACATCACATGCTTAAGTAACTTGGATGAAGGTCAAATACATCCTCATAATATCAGTGAGGGTGAGTCTTACATGCAGATGATGAACCTGAGAGATGTTCGTGTCCGTTTTCTAAATGGTAAGCTGCTTGTACAACATGAACATTCATGACGATTAACAAAGTTATTTAATGATGATTCAGTTTACTATATAGGTCAGCTTCAAACCTGCATAATAATATGAAAGAAATGTCAAAAATGAAGCATTTCACTTTTTTGATCTATTGTGTTCATGAGTCATGACAATATATGTTTTGGCTTATTTTCTTATCAATAACATCTTAAAGGTTGATCTCTAGCTCTTTTCTGTGGGTCGGGTATCGAATGAATATTAAAGACCTCTGAGTTTTTGGACGGTTGAATTTTTTTTGTCAGTCATGAAATTTGTTTTCTAAAGAGAATTTTAGACAAATTGGATCTAGTTGCTTGTATTGTTGAAATCTTTGGCATGTCTTAGATATAATTCTCGTTGTGGCTGTGATACATGCCACACTGAAGTGATAAATTTGCTTTTCTAAACCACCACACTTCCATGCAAGATTTGTGCCAATTAGCTTCTTATTGACCGGTATACTTCAGATTTCTTTTCCTAGTTTTTGTTGAAAGATCTGCTAGTGCTCTATCTCATGTTGCATTTGAACTTACTGAATTTATGAAAGATATTACTTCTCCAAATCCTAACTTTATTGTGGCAGATCTAATGAGAGAAATATTTCAGGTGTTCAGGCTTCTTATTGGGGAATGCTTGAAGAAGGAAGGATAACACAGACTACAGCAACTCTGTTGATGCGATCTGTTGATGAAGCTATGGATTTAGTAGCAAATGATCCTTTATGTGATTGGAAGGGTTTAAAATCTAGTGTTCATTTCCCATACTATTATAGATTCCTTCAAGTGAGCAAATTTCCACGGAGGCTGATCACATATTTCACTGTGGAACGATTGGAGTCTGCATGTTATATATGTGCAGCATTTCTTCGTGCTCATAGAATAGCAAGGGGACAACTCCATGATTTTCTCGGTACATTATCTTTGACTATGTGCACTTTATATATATATATATATATATATATATATATTTGCATATCTTTGTGCTATATATTGGCCCTATGTTGATCAAGGTGAAATATTCTGTAAGAAGAAGAAAATTACATGTTAGCTGCTACCTTTTTCTTTTTTATTCTATGTTAATAGATAGTATTACTCACCATGCTAAATTCATTTCATGAATTTTTAAACTCAAAATGGTTCCTACTGGTCTCCATCGTTTTCTGAATTGTAATAGATACCAGCAAAATAATTTTGAGTTATCAATTATTCTTGATCTTTAGCATGTATGACTGTGTTTATACGTCCTCTACTAGGTGAGAGTGTAATTGCTACTACCGTTATCAATGAAAGCAATGCAGAGGGAGAGGAAGCTAGAAAGTTCTTGGAAGATGTTCGTGTTACATTCCCTCAGGTCTGTAACTTCTTAACAAAGACAGTCAACTACTATACTACATAGTTTTGGTTTTTCTTTCTCTTTTCTTGTAAATACATAGGCTTACTCTGCTATTCTCTCTCTCTCTCTCTCTCTCTCTCTCTCTCTGTGTGTGTGTGTGTGTGTGTGTGTATATATATATATATATATATATATATATATATATATATATATCTGATATGCTTGATCTACAACTTTGTATTAATTTTATTTGTAGGTCCTCCGTGTTGTGAAGACCAGACAAGTAACTTATTCAATATTGAAACATCTGAATGAGTATGTGCAAAATCTTGAACAAGTTGGATTACTAGAAGAAAAGGAGATGTTTCATCTCAATGATGCTGTGCAGGTTACTCATTGGTCAAATCACTAAACTTTGAACTTTCCTTTGTTTTTCTGTTACTAAATTAATTTTTCTAACGTGGCAGACTAACTTAAAAAAGCTTCTAAGAAATCCACCTATGGTAAAAATGCCAAAAATCTGTGAATTATTAAGCTCCCATCCTTTGCTTGGTGCACTACCTTCCGCTATCCGTGAGCCTCTCGGCAGTTCAACAAAAGAAACAATGACATTACATGGTGTAAACTTGTATAGAGAGGGTTCCAAGCCCACAGGCATAAGGTTCATTTCCGTTGGAGTAGTTAAGGTGAGCTTGAAAACCAAACAACAGTGAATACTTGACTTAAGCTTTCTTGGTACTTGTAACTTCATGGTGATACATGTTTTTTGTTTATTCTCAGTGGACAAGTAAGAACTTGAGAAACAAGCATTCACTGCATCCAACCTTTTCACATGGAAGCACTTTGGGATTATATGAAGTTCTAACTGGAAAGCCATATATTTGCAACATGGTTACGGATTCTGTTGTCCATTATTTCTTCATTAAATCTGAAAAGATACTGTCATTACTTATGTCAGACCCAGCTATTGAAGATTTTCTTTGGCAGGTACTTTTGCTATACTCCATTCTCATATTTTAGCTGTTTACTAAATTTTTTTCCATAATTTGGCATCACAGATAAGTCCATAGTATATGCTTACCTATTTATGCAACTAGGAAGGTAGATATATCTCTTATGAGAAGTTGAATTCCATGATTCTGCAATTTAGACATTGTGCTACTTGCTTATTTGTTATTTTTACATATCCTTGTTGTAAATAAAAAATTTTACAACTAAATGGGAATTGAGGTAAAATGTGTTCATTGTTTATAGCTTTCCCAATGCTATTTCAGGTTGCTTGAGCTTTCATGTTGTTTTTCTAATTCTGCTTGTTTGATGTTTAATTTGCAGGAAAGTGCTATAGTCATAGCTAAAATCTTGCTTCCCCAAATATTTGAGAAAATGTCGATGCAAGAACTGAGGGGTCTTATTGCTGAAAGATCAAGTATGAACAAATATATAAGAGGAGAAGCAGTAGAAATAAGACCAAAGTCTATTGGATTTTTATTGGAAGGATTTATAAAGACTCAAAATGATCAAGAACAGTTGATAACATCTCCAGCAGTATTGCTGTCATCACAAACTGATCAAAGCTTTATTGATTTAGAATCTTCAGGTATGAAAATGTCTTATGTTTAAGTGGTCTTATGTTGATCATAGTTAATAGGTATGTTCTTAACTCAACCTCGAATTGAGAACATGGCATGCTTATGATGTAATCTTTGCTGCCAGTTTGCATAATCATCTACATGTATTATTGTATTATTAATAAACCCTTACTATTGATATTTGTGGTTCTACCCATTAGTACTTCACTAAATCCACACATCTGCTTCCATTAGTTACATATAGCAACAGAATGCTCTTCAGTGTCTCTGGCAATAGAGGTTGGGCCCTGAAGCTATGAACAGATGCTAGAAAAATGGTGAAATAGTATGGTTTCTTTTACCTTCATCACCAATGCACTTGTATAATGATTGCAGAAAGAAGGTAATTAATTTATCATAGATTATTGGTTTAGCAGGATATAGGTTCCAACTTGCCTGAGGCTAGGCTGACCTTTTATTGCCCAGTAATTCAGGTCTTATCATGTTGGTCATTTGAAAGCATGTTGCATGGGTGGTCAGATGTAGCTCTTGATCCTTTCACTAATAAACTGCAACGATTGTGAAATTTTAGATGCTGCTGTGCTTGGTTTAGCTGATGATTATATCTACATTTCAGAAATCTGATCTTTGAGCTACTTCCATTAATTGCAGGTGTGAACAGTCTTAGCTTCTGTCACACTGCATCCAGGTACCAGGTCGAAACAAGGGCCAGGGTGATATTTTTTGACATTGGTGTATCTGAGGCTGATGGTGCTCTTCAAAAGAGATCTGCCTCGTGGATCTTACAATCTGGTGAACCACAAAGAACCCCGAGCATGGAGCATATAGGGTTGCTTAGCTGGCCTGAGCATCTGTATAAAGCCACAGGACATCATCAGAGTCCTAATGAATCCATTAAGCAGTCAACAAGTTTATCTGCCAAAGCAATGGAACTAAGCATATACGGGAGCATGGTTAGTGAACTAGAACTTTATATACCATTTGCTTTCTTTTTCCACTTGTAAGTTGACATGGATGTTCCGAACTGCAGGTGAATGTCAGGTGTAGCCACTGCCGAAATATAATGACCGGTTCAACATCTAATCATTCACACAGCCTGTCCTACCCTAGAGTTCCATCAAGAACAACAGATGCCAGATCTCTTGTGTCTGTTCAATCGGAGGGAAGTAGTCTACAAAGCAGGCTAGCTCCAAGAAGGTCTGGCAAATCGGGTTCTATAGCTCCAAGAAGGAACGTAAGGCATGCTGAAGATAATTCAAGCGATGAATCTGGAGGTGAAGAAGTCATTGTTAGAATTGATTCTCCCAGTAGACTCTCTTTCAACCAGACCTCTGGAACTTAAATTAGCTCCAAGTGGTGATGCAATGTGTACCCGTAGGTGTATGTCTGTTTATTTCCGGCCTTCCTCCTGTTGATAAGCAAAGGTGACAAATTTTCTCTCTTCCGGTTTGGACAACAGCATTGCTTCCCTGCCTCATCATCTTGGGTACAGGTGGGAGACCAGAGTTCCAGGCAATGTTCATGTTGAATAAAAGTTTACAAGGCGTGCGTCCAAAGTGGCTGGCTGTTCTGTCACACAAAACCCATTCCTTTGGCACCAAAGGAATGGGGACCTGATCCTAGGTTGGCATACCTCCGAATCAGTTGGACTCTTGTAGTTGTATTGTAATTGGAGAAACAATTACTACTGTTGTGAAGTTTGGATTTGGTCAATAAAAAAGGGTAAATGTTAATTTGTATATATATATATATATATATTTTTTTTTTTTATATAGGAAAACTATTCATTCAAACTTGGCCTATGTTAGGCCTCAAAAAGGTTAGCATCTTCAACTCCTTAGGAAAGAGTTGATCTTTCTATTCTAGCTTTTTGTCTATGATTATGTAACTCATACCTATAAACAATTGATTCAAAAGAATTGAGACTTGGCTTTTCAAAGAAACCGAAGTAACTTGGCAACAAGAAGGCTCCTCCTCTTCCGAAGAAGAAGAAGAAGAAGAAGAAGAAGAAAGAAGAAGGCCATGCCCCCCTCACCTTTGTGCCAATGGGAAGAAGTCATAATAGGTTTGAGAACTAAGCAAATTCCAATAAGTTTCTTACAAAAGGACAGTCCAAAAAAGATATATTACAAATAAAACAAGAATCAGTTTGAAAATGAAGAATTCGAGCAAACAGTGAGGAGCAGTTCCACAATCATTTTCACACAAAAAGGTTTTTTAACTTTAGGGAGAGCATCACCATCACCTTCCTTCCACCCAGTCCAGCGTTTCCACCTTATGAAAAGGATCACTTGTTACATATGAATTAACCACCACTTGTAGACGATACAGAGCCTATAGGAGGAGTGCATATGATAGATAGATTTTTCTGATCAAGATATGATGAAACAAAGAACTAATTGCTTTATAATTTCCAAGAGTTGTAGAAATAATATTAACCACAAAAGAAAAATGATTCGTCTCATATACATTATTCACAAAAGCAGGTCACTTATTTATAGATAAGTTCTTTCACCAATGATCATCTCATAACTTGATGTAGCAACCATTACCAATAAATTTATGAAATCCACCTTTAATATCACAGAGAGGTTTACTTATATATTATGCCAAGAACAAGAAGCTTTGTTGCATGCTATAAGAGATATTTCGAGGATTCAAAACATTCTTTCCTTTCAAGAACAAAAGCCAAAATCATTTTATCCCAACTGGAAGGAAGAAAAACACTTGCACTAACAGTGGATAGAAACAAAGCTTCAAAGATACTGGTTTTAATTTTCCTCCAAATAATACTGGTTTTAATTTCCTCCCAATAATCCTTTTGCCAAGCTCCATTTGGTCAGCAGCAGAAATCTTTTTAGTCAGGTAAAGGTTGCTGTGATCACCAGTGCAGACCTGAGGAAGAGGGGTTGTAGAATTCAAATGCCCCGTGCTCAACATTCCACACTTCTTTTCATTAAAATCAGCCGGCAAAATAACTACTTATCTCAAAAGTGACCCAACATAACTTCTCCGTTCTCCAATTTAATAGAATCAACAGCTCATCATGGCTCAGTCTTGCAGAGCTACCTGACTCATCCCTTCTATGGTCATCGACCCAACCAATTCACTCACTCGTTAACTGCACCACTACGTGTTTAATCGCGTAGTATCGTATCGCTACGAAACCTACAAATGGTTGTAGAATTCAAATGCAGTGTATCATTTGTTTGGGAGAGTTTGTAAATTGCAGCCAAATAAAATTAATTTCAACTAGTCGACCATGACAATCCACCGATGCATCCAGATAAAAACTCAACACACATGTCAGCCCATTTAATACCATCCAAATTAAAAGAGAATCATGATGAGCTTTCCAGTAATTCCAGTAATGTACACATTCGAGTTACGAAGCTAAACTTTGCCTAGCAGCCACGCATAATGCATGTTGGAGCCTTTTTATACGATACCGGAGCACCGGTCCGGAACCACAGAAATGGACCTAGTAGTGATCTGAGAAACTGCATATATTTAGACTGCTGGGTCTTCGAGTGCTGCCGTTGTTAGATTGTTGATTCTTGGATAAGCAGCCTTCTCATCCAGCTGGTTCTGAGCCCATATCAGCATCTTCAGCAAACTTGGAAGCTTTGGATCTGCCACAAGTCACTCACATCAAGTGATAACGGTATCTCAAGCGCGATACTCTAGTTTGCTAGAAAGCAGCATGGCTATGTTTGGTTTGACCTCTAAAGAAAATAAGAGGTGGCAGAGAACTTCGACTGCATAACTACATTTTGATGGGCATTTTATTCAAAATTTGCTTACATATCTTTTGAACTCCTAAACAAGGTTCCCACGTGTCAAAAACAGAATTACCAACTAGGCTCCTGGAAAATATTATTAAACACTTTACGTCAAAAGTATGAAGTTGCTACAGGAGCAATATAAATGATTGAGACGGTTCAGCCTAGGCTTAACAGGAAATGAGATCATTATTTTGAGATAAGAAAGATGGTAAATGCAAGGTGGAGGACCAATTTGAACATGTATTATACATGCATCACAAAATGGTGTTTCCCATCATAGTGTATTCAGTGAATCATTACTCTTTTGACTCGAAGAATATATCTTTTTGGTTGCTTATAAGACACCTTTGATTCACTAGAGAATAAATAAGAAAATCACAAAATGAGAAAAAAAAAAGAAAAAAGAAAACATAACCAACCTTTCTCATGACTTTGGCTTGTTAGTATGGCAGCATTGAGCTCGCTTGCAGTTTTCAAGCGTTGTGACACATCTAGAAGCTCTCCATAAGGACAATTCTTAACATCTTCAAATGCCAGGAGAGCTACTGTCCTCTCCAACTCTTCTAGAAAACTTTGCTGTCAAATCCAGAATTCCAATTACATTAGTTTACAATTCTCTCTACTTAGTTACACATCAAAATTCAAAAAGAAAATACTTATTAGATCATCTAAAGTTTCAAATAAAGCACCATCATATGCAACTTTCGAGACAACCCCTACATACGTGGAGGCTGTTTGTATGACACTTGACACCCAAAGTATTATAACCCGAGCCTGATGAGCTAACTAGCCTATCAACTTCGTTTGGTCTAATCCACTGACCAAAATGCTTAAGCTGAAGTTGATAGTAGTACACTCATCAAACTCTTATAAG